TAAGCCTTCCTTAATTCCCCCCCCTTCCCTTATTTCTAGCTATGTATGAGCAATCACTCCATCCTATGATTTCCCATAATACTTGGTCTCTACTTCTTTTGTTACACTTCACAACTCTATATTGATGTAGGGAATTATGGATAAGGCAGTTCCCTCTATTAATTCAGATAAACAATTAGCAAAAAACATACATTCTCATGTCTTTATATAAGCTCTGGTGCTTAGGGCAGTGCCTTACACACAGTGCTTGATGGACACATTAAGTGACTAGTATAAGCATAAATGTAAAATCATATTATGAATTGCTTTGGCATTTTAGTATTGTTGATAAAGCTAATGCACAAGAAAGTCACAGCTGTTTATTTTTCTTCATACAAAGTGACACGTTTTTGCAGCACCAAAAATGTCTAGTTCTACAGCAGACGATCATTGAAATTTACTGGGAAAGTTTTATCTATGAATCACGAAAATTTTTCCTTCTATAACTTGCAACCTGGCCGTTCCCTTTGGAACCATTTACAACAGAGGAATAAACAAAGAGCTGATTTTGAGGCCTTCTCCCTCGCTGAAACAAAGGGTAGAGTGGGAAAGACAAATGCTCAATTTGGAAAGATCTAGCTATTCAATTATATTTTAAATGGTACAGGGCAGCTCTGCCAACCTGAATGTTCAATGGAAGAAAATGTCTTACACACTGATCCTGGTTTCCCAGAAAAATGTCTAAGGATATAAATGCCTTAATAACCCACATTCATATTCATTTGTATCATCATCACTATTACAGTGTGTAAATTCTTCGAGGAGAAGCACAATTTCCTTTCTGTCTTTTTATTCTTGGACCCTTATCCAATGTAGAGAATTAACAAATGCTTGCTGATTTAGTTTACAGATAGCATTTTTTTTTTGGAGCACGTGAAAAAGAAATCAAGATAACTACCTGATTTTATCACTAAGTAAGGAAGGTGAAAGAAAAATATGAAAGAAGAGAAAGTTGTTAGTAATTGGTTATCTGGAGTTGTTACTGCTGCTAGCAGCTCTTTACGAAATACTTTATTTATGACAGCCCTATGGCAAAGATGGTGCAAGTATTATCATATCCATTTTACAGATGAGAAAATGAAGGCCCAGAGAAATGAGGTGAATGGCTAATAAGTGTTGGAACTAGGATTCAAATGTAGGCATTCTTATTTCAACTCTAGTACTCTGTCATTACATTACACTTTTCACCTGAGAAAGTGAACTACTTTGAACCTTGCATTAAAAATATGGTTCTAAACAATGGAAAAAAGAAGAGAGATTTAAAAAAATAGATTCTGAGCAAGGCAGTGACATCCATCCATCTTTAAGTCACAAGAAGAGATTTTATCCTACTTCATTTGATGCAACAGCCCTTAGCCAAAAGAAAAAGTCTGACTCAACTTCATTTGTCTGTAATAGGAAAGAATCTCCTTATGACAGTTCTCAAGAGCATTCACTTTTACTGGGGGTAGTTTGGGGTGGGGAATGGTTCTGGATTCGTTGGGTGGAAAAAACTGTCCTCAAACTCAGGGCAACATGTGACACATACACCTTCAAGAGAAAATTCAACTGTTAAGTAATTAAGTATAAATTTTGAGAGGCAGATAACAGTACTCTTCTAAAGATATGTTTTCTAAAAAAACATAGTATCCATGTGCTAGGATTGTTCTCTTGAAATACTGAATAAGCAAAAATATTTCATCACTTTAAGCTCATATTGTATTCCCAGGAAAAATCTTATCCTTTTTTTTAATGGTCTACAATTTAGCTGTGACATTTTCTTAAGAATACAAACCACCACAATTCTTTTCTTTCTTATATCACAAGACACATATGTATGTAATAAGCCAAACCTGGAAATATATTCATTTTCCTTATATAACAAGGACATTGTACTCTCAGAATCGACAATATTGAAATTGTTGTGTTCTAAGCACATGACACAAAATTGTAGCATATTTTCAGCAGCCATTGCCCCCAAAGTAATAGGTTTCTCTCTCTCTCTCTCTCTCTCTCTCTCTCTCTCTCTCTCTCTCTCTCTCTCTCTCTCTCTCTCTCTCTCTCTCTCTCTCTCTCTCCCTCTTCCCCTATATACACACATGACAAAACCTTTTCTTATTTAGGCTACTGTCCAAACATCTTAAGAATATGATATTAATAAAATTATAGCATCTTAAGGTCCAGAAAAAGCTTTTATGACAAGAACCCTGTGGATAAGTTAGTGTATTAAGATTTCCCCATTTTACAGACGAGCAAAGTGAAGCTCTGAAAGTGTAAATAACCTGCCCCAGAGTCACATAGCTAGTATTTGAGGTAGAACTCTAATCCAGGTGTTTTCACTCTAAGTGCAATGCTCTTCTCCTACAACATTCTGGTAAACTGGTTAACATGCAAATTCATTATGAAGATATTCACAAAGGGGGGAAATTATTTCCTGGACCCTCAATTATTAATTTTTCTCACATACCACCCTCCCAGTTGCCCTACAAATAGCTGTAGGAATAGAAACCAGGATTTGTGATTTTGTGAGTAATGCCATCTTGTCTTTGCTGCCTCTACCAAAACCAGCTGGCTACCTGTATAGCTGAATACCGGCAGAGCTAGCCAAATATAACATTCAGAAAAGCAGTCAGGGTTTCCCAATTCAACTATAATGAATTCTGCTTTACTTCGTATTTGTAAAAGATAGCTTTTAAGTTCTACCAAAACCACAGGGCCAGATCTCATTCTAAATCTCTGTAGTAGCCCCTAAAGCCTAGTTTTTTTTTCTTATAGCAGGCTGTCTCTTCATTCTTGCTAAGCCCCTTTCTCCTTCACAGAGCTAACTCCCCTCTTCTAGATTCTTCTAGGACCTTCCATTCTACAAATTTTCATCTCACAAGCAACCTCACTGATGGGAGCCACCCTGAGGCACAGGGAAAACCAAACAGATGCATACTCAAGTATCCCACACACAACTGAAGTGGTAACTGAGAGCCTGTTTACTAGCTTGGGCAGGTGGGAGGCCTTTTGACCATGCAACCAAGGTGTGAACTCCCTAGAGTGTAATCCTGTCCCACTAGAGTTCTCATTGTCTCCTGGGTAACTATGATTCCTCATGACTCCTTGCCCCCTCTCCCCTTATTCTCTTCCTCACGTCTCTTTGCGTGAGGTAAAATAAGCCTACAATAAAGGCTTATTGCTTTTAGCATCACTTGGCTGGTTTGCTTCTTCAGTGGAAATCTCCAATTCCTGAAAAAGCATTTGTAACAGAGTAGAACATTGTTCAGATGATAACAGTGAAGCTGGGCTGGCATGGGTAGGGAAACAGCCATTCTAGTTACATAATGCATATTTACGGTAAATCTACAAATGTTCTCAACTTTTTATTAATAAACCTATTTTTTTTTTAAATCAAGGGTTACCACTTGCATAATTAAGTTACATAGGTACTTTATATTCTGGCTAACACCCTTCTAATTATGGAATATTTCTCTCGGATGTCGTCTTCACTGCCACTTTGTTTGTTGTGTCTGTGTGTGTACATGCACATACCAGGCAGAGCTATTTCAAAGATTTTTTTCTGATATTGTGACCTAAGGTATCTTTAGAACAGTTTCAAAAATCTCCTCTCGGTTTCTGCTCCCTGCCAACAAAAGCCATAAAAGATTCCTGCCTACAAAAGTAAGACATCACATTTTGCTGAAAAAAGACACCCACTCTGCCACTCAGCTTCCTGGGATACAGAAGTACACCCACCTAGACTCCTTGATAACATTTCTGAGGAGTCTGGTTTCCAGCTGTTTGTCAACAGAGAATCCCTGACATCAGAGTCTGAGCTGCTCTGGAGCTACTCAGAGGAAGCTGACACACTGAACCGAGTTGTTCAGGATTCTTCCCAAGTGCTCCTTTTGCTTTTCAGTACACAAATCTCTTAAGCAATAAAGGACAAGATTTGTAATACAGGGCTCCTGCCAAGACCCTCTGGGGAAATGGCTGCCAAGCTTCTAGTATTTCAACAGGGAATTTAGAAGAGGCTGTTTAGAGTTAAAAGTCTTGAATCTGGAGAAAGAATTCAGCACCAAAGTTCCTTCAAGACCTGGGACCCGAACTTGCTCTTTCTACCTAATTCAGATACGGCTGGACTAGTGGGGGGCAGGAAACACTTCATAAGAAACCTTAGTCAAGAGAAAGGCAATGTAATCACTGATCATACAGTACTACAGTTTCAGTGTCTCTCTCACCTTTTCAAAAGCATTCAAGCAAAAACCATATGGCTTTCCTGGCACTTCAGAAGACTCAGCAAATAAGACTGTCTGAGAAATCGAAAGGGACACCTGAAAATGACCCTTTTCATGATTAACAGGATATTTCAGAGGTAGTGTCCTAGTTAAATTAGGATGTAAGCTCCTTGACCACAGGAGCTGTTTTATTTGTACATCTGTAAGAGTGACTGTAGGCAATAGGTGGTTAATAAATTCTTGTTGATTGACTGAGTTACTGAAATTAGGTTTGCAGAGTCTAAACAGCTAAATCCCTGAGGTCTCAGGTTCTTATTGCTGTCCCAAAGAGTGCTTAAGTGTCAGTCATGGTGAAATGACTTAACTGTCCATCCCCCATAGAGAGTCACCATATCTAGAGAAGTGAAGTACCCTAACGAAGAAGACCTTTGGAAATGCTGTTATTTCACATTAAAATCTCCTGCTATCAATATCCTGCCACTGCTCTTAAGAGGCACCAGTAAGTACATAGTACATCTGTGATTTGTGTCAATGGTTCCTGCCAAGGTATCAATTCAGATAGGCTACTGTCTGCCTGGTCATGCCCTAATATAAGGACTGCTGACCTGGCGAATACAAATCAAAGAACATTCTTCTCACCCAAAGATCTCTAACAGGAAGAACAAAATTTTCACACCCTGGAAAATCATTTCTATCTTTGGAAGATCAAAGTAGCACAAGGAAATGAAGGCATGTGTACTCAGTGCAAAAGGCACCTCTTACCTTGTACATGTTGCATGGACTGGATCAAGGGGTTGGACATGTCACAGAGTGTGGCAGCTCTTGATCATTCTTCTCTTCTCCAGAATCCTCACTTTCTGAATCGGAGACCTCCACTGAGAGCCAAAAAAGAATACAATAACACAACATTCAGTGAGTACTTCACGGTTAATAATAATTCTCATTATTGACATTTACCTTAAGCTTTAAGGTTTGCAAAGGACTTCACAAACATTAGCTCATTAGAGCATCACAAAAACCAAGTAAAGTAGGTACTGATCTGGTCAAACTCCAAAGTGCTAAGGCCATAAAACAAGGTGGTATAAGTGGGCATAGAATTAGTCAGCATCTACTCGCAAAGACTATAAGCCTATACCAAAAACAAAACAAAACAAAACAAAACACCCTGGGAAAAGCAACTGAAATCTAATTCTATGGACTTGGAACAAGAAAATCCCTTAGAGAGCAGCTGGTCTAACCTTCTTCAGTCATATTCCTGGAAGCTAAGATGCTAATGAATTTCAAGGTTTTAAATTTGAACTATCTATGAAATTTAAACTAACTCAGAACACATGATTACAAAGCTTGTCCACGCATATTGCATGAATGTCAGAATCACATACAGACTCATTTTTTCATTCGACAACAATACTTCATTATTCAAAAAACATTCATTCAACACACTTTTTATTAAGCCATTAGAGAATTAATCCATGGTCCCTACCTTCATACAGGAGAATAATAAAGGAGAACAAGAATGATATGTTCATTGGATAACCTTACCCACATCCAATGACTCCATTACTCCTCACTATATACCCCTGTTTGCACTAAACTAATTTGTGTCTTTTTAAAAATTTCTTTAAAAATTTGTATCTTTTTATAGATTGCTCTCTAAGTATTCTGTTTTTTCCCCTACAAATGTTGGTCATGAATTTCCAACTACATTGACCTTAATTGATTGTTTATTTCATGTCACCCAGAGTTTAGTTTAGGACTTTGTACACAATGAGGAAAGAAACACAATGCTGGTGACTGCTGCAGTCTGCCTTTCAGAGCAAAGCACAGAAAAGAAATTCTTAGAATGATCAGAGAGAGGCTACTGGCTCGTTATCATCCCCTAGCATCTTCCATCCTGCTTCAACAACAACAATAAAGTAATTTATAATGAAGTCAATATTCCCAGTGCTTTCAATCAATCATCAAACGTTATGAAGTACCTACTATGTGCTGGGCATTGTGCTAAGAACCAGGGACATAAAAAGAGGCAAAAGTGTTGCTGTTCTCAAGGAGCTTACAATCTAATGGGGGAGACAACATGCAAACAAATATTTACAAAGCAAGCAAAGTGCAAGAAAAATATGAAATAATTAAGAGAGAAAAGGCACTAGAATTAAGAGGAGTTGGGGAAAGCTTCCTTCAGAAGAAGGGATTTCACAGTTGGGACTTAACAGAAGCCAGAAAAGTCAGTAGGCAGTGCAGAGAAAGGAATGCTCCATCCAGAGAAAATGCTAGGAGCTGAGAGATGGAGTGTCTTTTTCTTGAAAAGGCCAGAAGGTCAATGTTGGTAGATTAAAAAGCTTATGTCAGAGGGTAACTTTCTAGGAGACACAGGATTTAAGAACTAGAAAGGACCTCATTTTACAAATGGGGAAACTGAGAAACAGTGACTTGCCACAGATCACCCAGGAAATATAAGTGTCAGAGGCAGGACTTGGACCAGGTTCTTTGACTCCACATCTGGTGCTCTGTCCAATACGGCACAGAAAACAGAATGTATTTGGTAACTGCACAAAATTGTGTTCTGTTGACTGAAAGTGTTTTATACAATTATCCCTTCCACATCAAGACTTTCACCATTATGGTTTCAATATATTGCAGGTTGGCAGAAGAAATCAAATAGGAGTTTTTTGGGAGTTTTATAAATATAGCAAATGACATACAAAGGCCAGTAGACAACACAGAAAAAGTTTAGAATCTCAGAAATGCATAAAATAAATGTATAGTATAATAACCCAAATTTTACAATAAGGTACTGTAAACACCTCATAAAAGAAAAAGACAAAATTCAGACTTCTTCTCTGGTACAAAGGAAGTGCCAAAAAATTTTATGTGGATTTTCCAGATCATGGGGGAAAGGCCCTTTATTCATCGCTATGGTTATAGAATGACCTGGAGAAGAAAATCCCTATAACAGACCCATTTTTAAAATATGTTGCTTAGTCTGAAGGTCACACACAAAGCACAAAAAGGAAATCCACTGCCTACAAAAGACAACAATCTAGAAAACAGACTAGTTGTAAGTTAGGACCAGTCATCAACCAAAGCATCTGTTGGACAGACAACAGAAAAGACTGGCCTTATTCTTCGAAGTACTTTCAACCTCTTTCTAAACAGTACAAGTCTGGCTGTTTTATAGCCAAGTCCATATGTAGAGTCTCCTAGAAGAACGTATAGCTTCAAAATGAGGCAGTCTTAAACGGAAAGAATTTACATCCTCTTGGTACTGAATAAATGCAGAGTACAAACGTGCATCAGGCTAGGTTCTAGGAACTCAGCCTTAATATGTGTGATTTCCATTCTTCAGATCCTGGTGGAGGTGGTTTTACTGGTATCAATTAGGCTTCTACTGTTGTCAGTATCAGACTCCAGAAGTATTAACTCACATTTAATTCACTTCTAGAGGTGGGTGGTAAAAGGAAAAGCTAGGTAAGCAGAAGGAGGCAAGGGTTAGTGTAGGAAGAGGAAATAAGAGAAGGGGTGAAAATAAAAGGTCAAGGTTACTGGGAAAGCAGAGGGAAATGGGTAAATTAGAAAATAGACTGTATACAGAGATTATGTATAGAGATATACCTACTACCTCCTCACATCAGAAGAACACCGTGGGAGTTACGGCAAGGCAATAAATAAGGAATTCCTTGTTCATTTCTACTACTCAACATTCAGAAGCTTCTGCAAGAAAGCTTCTCCTGAGACACAGACACACCGATGTAAAGTCAGAAATGGTCTCACCTGCTACCTACAATCACCTACCACCTACCATACAGAAATGATAAAATTCTTCATCAGGATTATGTGGATGTCTTCTGTGCTAGAGGTATGGAGAGAAAGGTATGTCTACCTGAATGAATAAATGAATCAAGGGCTTGCCATGTACAATGCACTGTGCTATTCAGACATTCCTGCTCTCACAAGAGCTCACATTCTAATAAGAGAGACAACACATATGGAAAGTTTCAGCTGTGAATCAAAAAAAGTCCCATGATCCTTAGGGAACAGTGGCAAATTAGGAGTAAAACCTTTTTAATGTCACTTCCACTAATACAATCATGTCATTTCTGATGCTCGGCCATTTGATAGCGCTGTCTGGGAGGAAACTGATACCATCAAGGCTCCTATATGTCTCTGCCTGTTGGTACCAGATGGTTAGAAGTTGTTGCTGGTGGTGTGAGGAAGATGGGCACCTTTTCTACAATTATTCCTGCCCTAAATGATGGCTGTGGGGCCAGGCTAGAAGCAGGTCTGGTGATTTATGGGGCATTGCTATTCCCAAGGTTCTTGAGTTTAGAGTCCTAGGCTCACCTTATCATGGTTTAAGGGGAAACTGTGGTTAAGATGGTGGTGGTTTCACGTGTCAAGCACAAACTTTCTGGTTTTTTCCCTAGGGCACCTCACTGCTTTTAGACTGGATTATCTATCCCTTAAGCAACACTGGTTAGCAATTCTCTCCTAATCAGAAGGCACAAAGGACCAAGGGTTCTTTTCTCATATATTGGGACTTTGTTCCTTGTGACACTTGTAATTATGGCACAAGAGAGGCAGGTGAGAGCATTACAAAATATACAAACATATACGCACACTGATATAAAGACTTTATATATATGAGGGTAAGGACTAGACCCATGATTTTATTGGCATAGGAAAACTCCCTGGCCAAGAAACTTTCTCTACCAATCAATGCAATTAGGCACAATCTCTGCAATCTATATTCTTAGAGAGGTGCCTAGAACATAGAGATTAAATGACTTGCCCAGGGTCATACAGCCAATATGTGTCACAAGCAGTGCATGAATTCAGGTCTTCCTTGTTTTGAGGCCATCTCTCAATCTCTCTCTCTCTCTCTCTCTCTCTCTCTCTCTCTCTCTCTCTCTCTCACACACACACACACACACACACACACACACACGCAATCTCCACTTACGCTTAATGTTACAAGGCAATAAATTCCAGTATAAAAGGCAGTAAATGATGGTATAGCCACAAAATGGGTTTAGTTGTAAACAAACAAACAAAAATTAAATCATTCCAGTGCCTCCTGTTTCTCAGGGTGTGTTTTCTATCCTTTCCTCCTGAAATTCGGGCAGAGAGAGAAGGAAGAGTGCTCCTTGTTTTTTTTTTTCCACCATTTTTCTCTCTCACTCTCTAAGGTGAGCTAGAAGTATAGCTGCTGATCTTCAATGGCTTTGGGGTCCCTACTATACTAAAAAATTGGTCACCCCAAAGGGCACTGACCTAAAAGACAGAATTAATTAAATTTAACAAACATTTGTTAACTACCTACTATGTGGAGACACTTGACTGGACTGTACATGACGTCTGCTCTAATAATGTTCAAGGCTATGTCCTGACTTTGACATTATTCCACCAAAATTGTGTTTAAAAAGTAATAGGACATCCGAGTTTAGGGGAGTCATACACATCATCTTATCCAATTCCCTCATTTGTCAATTAGAGATTGCATTTGTTAATGACATAATGCTAGGAGGAACAACTAATACAGTGGATGACAGAATCAGGATCCAAAAGGTTGGAACGGTGAATTAAAACTAATCAAATGAAATACAAAAAGGATAAATGCAAAGTCATGTACCTGGGTTCAAAGGATCAACTGTCCAAGTACAAATGGGACAGACATAGGTAGAAAGTTCACATGAAGAAGACTTAGGGATTTTAGTGGATTTGAGCTCAGTCAATAGTGTGATGTGAAACCAAGAGAGCAAATTAGATTCAATTCAAGAAACAGTTAATCAGCACTGCAATATGTAGAGAGCTATTTTGGATGCTGGAAATATAAAGACGGGAAAAACATTCACAGTACCTACCCTCAGAGAGCTTA